GTCCCCCTCGGCCTGCACCCGGAGTCCCATGGCCTCCCCCCAGCCCCTCCACGTCCAGCCCCTCAGTCGGGGGCCCCGTCCCCCTCCCCCTCCCTCTACCCTCCGCCACCCCCCACCCCCCACCCCCCTCCCCCTCCCTGGTGACTCGGAGGCAACGGGCAACTCACGGCGGTTCGGTTTGCCTGATCAACTTCCGTTCTTCCACGAAGCTTTTACTTAACTTCGAGTACCGGTACAACTGAGCTGACTGGCGGGCATAATTGACCAATTTATGTCAATAAATTAGTAACTTGCGGCGGCACGGGAAGAACTTTTACTCAAAGGTAAGCTAAAATCAGTACGAGGACTCCGTCAGAGGGTACAGTGCCAGCAGATGGTTCGTGCCACAACTGGCGAGCTGACCCCAGGGCTGACCCCGTGACCACAAGAGTTGATACCTGGAGATCAGACCTCGGACCTCGGACCGCCGCGTCACCCGGAGTCGGCGGCCGCCAACCGTTGCGGTTATAGAGACTTATCTCGAAGGTTCTACCTGGGCGGAGGGCCGGACGGCCACGGAACCGGAGCCGCCGGGGAGGGGCTGACAGGTGAAGGGGACACACGTGACTCGGGCGGTTCCGATGTGAAGGCCGAACCGTTTCATCTTTGCATCGGAGACCATGAGGTTTTTTTTCTTTTGATATTTGAGTTATAAAACGAAGATATCTTGATTTCCATTTGACAGACCCAGCCTCTTAATTATTCAAGATCCCAAAATAGGGCCTGTTAATCTTCTATTTGCACCCCTTTTAATCCTTGAGAAAGGGATTTATCCAACTTAATTCCAATGCTCTCTTGCTAATCTTCATGTCATGGAACATTTTTGTAGAGAACGGAACCAAGAATTGTACCCAGCCATCACCCGTGGTTATCTCAGTGTAAAGTAGGGGTGAGGGTTGCCATTGGAGGCCGTTCCAGTTGACTTACCACCCTCCTTTACACCTGTGTAGACGGGATCAGTAAAGGGGTAGTCTCCCTGCGCCTCCCAACCGTCACCAATGGGCCTGTACCATGTTTATAATTGTTTTAAATATCGGAGATGGTTTTGAAAATCTTACAGAGAATTTGAAAGTTTCCAGAAATATTTCGAGGTCGGTTGCAGCCCCTGACATCATAACGTCAGCAGATAAGAAACGCGTTGCCCAACTCTTTACCCCACCCCCCCATTTCATGGACGTCAATAATGTTTTAAAAACAGTGTTTTAACTTGCGTGATCTGGTCAATGACCCCTCCCGGGGGAAAAGAAGAAATTTCATAGGTGCATCTGGGGTCATTCGCATAAAAATAGTTATAAACCATAAAACATACCCCACCCCCCTTCCTGTGCAACCTTTTCCCCTTCGCTCTCACCGCCTCTTTCGCAGCCCAGTCTCCTCTGTAGCAGACCCCCTTCACTTTCTCCAGTCTGACTGTTCTGCTGCTCCTGCTGCTCCTTGTACTCCTTGTACTCCTGCTACTCCTGCACCTGCTCCTACTTCTTCTACTCCCTTTGGCTGTTCCTGCGGCTCCTCTGCATTACTTCTTCTGCTTCCTTCTCGCTTTACTTGCGCGTCTGTTTCCTCTTGGCGTCACTTCATTTCAACTAGATATGTTGATGCATTCCTGAGTTATATTTTCTATTTCTGAGCAGCATGGTTCTGCAGGACTGACCTCATCATTCTTTCTGCACACGAAGCTTTTGGAATGATATCGGAAGTTCAATACCAAGCATGAAAATATTATCACGTGGTCAGTGCAAGGAGCCGGTGGTGGATATCGCGGAGCCGTACACCCTCAAGTCAAAGGGGTACGGGGACTTCAACGATCTCATGGAAAAGAAAGAGAGAGCCATCGACATCGACGGGCTCCTTGCTGCCGGCGGCCTTAATCTCACAGCGGTAGATTTGAGGAGAGGTATAGCGATTCGCAAGTCTTAATCATAACCTTCAGGTCCCCCCGGACTTCAACGTTGAGCTACCGGTTGCCCATGAGGACGTCAAGATAGAAGGTGAGAATGACTACCTGCGCCAGCACATGTAGAATGATGTGGGGCGGATTGACAGCAGGTCGTTCATGGTCCGACGATCATGATGGTGAAGAGGAAGTTGACGATGCAGGTCTGCCAAACTTGGCTGAGCAGGTCGTGTCCTCTGAACTCCTGTCTTGACAGCATCGGTTGCATCGTCCTCTTCAAGACTTCTCTTTTCAGCGGGATCTTCTCTCGACAGGTGGATAGAGTTGTGCTTGTCGTTAGGCTGATGGGCCGGGGCAGGAGGGGGAAGCACAAGCTGGTGGAGAGAAACCGAAGAGAAACAAGTAGGATGACCAAACTTTCATGAGCACGCGATCAATTTGACATTAAGAGGACAGTGAGAAAGATGATTGCTGAGTTGCAAGCTACGGTGGGCTGTAAGACAAGACCAGGATTACATCCGAACGTGGTATGTTCCCTGCTTGCCTTGCTTTCATGTTACATGGGATCCTTGACGGTTGACATCATCCTGCAGTCTGTGGTGCTTGAAGCAACGCTGCACTGGTTGAGAAGGTGTGCGACTCTGCTGATCTCGTTGACTTGAAACCTTTCTGACGGTTCGGCTCTTGTTGGTGGCGAACAGGAAAGGAGAGGATGGACATTTGAAGAAGAAATTAGGTACGTCGAGCCTGGGTTGGTGCGATCGATGACACTGTCTGTAGCAGCCGAAGACATTGCAATGTCCTATCAACCATGGAGACATGCCTTCGACCTTGTATGACAGAACTGATAGTCCTTACTCTCCTCAGCAGCCTCACCTCCCCACCAACCTGTTCCCTTCGCTTCCATCCCCTGCTCCCACCTCCTCTCTATTCCCTCGCTTGCCTTCCCTCTTTGAACTTCTCTTCCTCTTTGCTCCGTCCTTCTTATTCTTTCTTACATGTTTGATCGCAGGCTCCTGTTGGGATCTTGATTTCCAGCGATGACGGTCGGTTCATGAACCAACAAAAGAAGTTGGTTGTTGTTGTTGTTGTTGTTGATTTCAAAGCAGGGCTGATACAACATGCTAACATTCTAATGAGGTGTGAGATGCTTTATTCCCTCCAACCTCTCCCCTTCCCTTTTCTCTCTCTCCCTCCCTCCCTCCCTCCTCCTCTCTTCCGCCTGCGATCCCACTCTTTCTCCTTCGCTGAAATGCCTCAACAGCGAACTATCTAAGATGAATCCTGGCAACCTCTTACAGCATCCTAAAATTTTCTTCTCTCCGTCAAGGAATGTCTATTTTCCCATGATATTACATGTGACATTGTTCTCTGCCATGTTGAATTCATCTTGACTGATTGTCAGGTTTGGAACGTGATGATCTACGTGAATGTAAAGATTTCCGGTGACGACGTGAAGGTTTCAACTTGATTCTCGCATGCTTCTTGTTCTTTTACCAACCCTCTCAGGCTGCGTCAAAACTTTTCCGATGGGACCTGCAGGACTGGGAGGTAAACTTGCTGAGTCGCCATGGTCATGGTCGACAGCTGAGTTGCAAGTAGTTTACAGGCCCTGTTTACAAACACGGCATGTCTTGCGAGGTAAAAGCCTCATGTAAAGGTGAGTAGGAACCTGACGACTTCGCGCGCAAGGGTCTGACGAGGCTCGTTGAGCAGGCGGGGAGATCCAAAGGATCTTTGTGTATTTGAAACATTGTGAATGCTGTTGAAAGTGACCGTGTGTGAACAAGTAATGTACATAATGACAATGATTGAGAACCATCTGCTTCAACGTCCTTTACCACTCTCCTTCTATTCATCATCTCATGAACTTCGGAAGGGGAGGGAGGGAGGGAGGGAGGGAGGGAGGGAGGGAGGGAGGGAGGGAAGAGGTTGAAGGCTCCTTAATAAGTACAATGCTCTTTGCAGAGAATTTTTCATGTTCATTTCGGGACAGCTTAAACTTGCTTCACTTCCATGAGACATTCGCCCGTCATGCAAGCACCACAATGTGATGCATTACAAAGCGCACCCACCAGATCAGTGCCGCTCAATCATCATATTCATTCATTCTTCACGTACAACATTCAACGTAGCAATACAGACAGACGCTTTCAACGTGCTTGTCAAGTCTTCACACAGGACCTGACATCAACCAATTGACAGTCTTTCTGAAAACTTCATTCTTCTTTCTCTCTTCAACGGAGGTTAAGTCACATCCCTCGACTTCAGTAGAAACCAGCTCGATTGTAGTCAGGGTCCGTGTACGCCCCTCCGTCACCTGTACCAAGTCAGTTTTGTCTCTTCCCTTCCTAACTCCCCCACCCCAAACAGACCTCCCCGTCACTTGCTCCCGTCCAGCTACCCCCCTCTCTCTCCTTCTTCCTACCCTCCCTCCTCCACCTCTTTCTCCCTTCACCCCCTTTTCCTTCTCCCTCCTCCTCCTCCTCCTCCTCCTCCTCCCTCTTCCTCCCTCCTCCGCCACCACCATCATCTCCTCCTCCTCCTCCTCCTCCTCCCTCCTCCGCCACCTCCATCATCTCCTCCTCCTCAGGCGCCTCCTCCTCTTCTCCTTACATGAGTTGTGGTCGGGCCCGCAGTCCTCGAGGTTTTCCCTCAAAAAGCTTCCCATCGACGGGTTGAAGGTCGTGTGGAAGTAGTCTGGGTTCAGCAGCGTCCTGTCGCCGGGGGGGGCAGCGGGGCCACAACCCATAGGTGGGCCAGTCTGCGAGACGGGGGAGGCTATCTCCGCCACGTCAGAGTCGCAGCCCTTGTACGCCTTCACACCGTTGACCTCGGAGCAAATCTTGGGGCTCTTGTGTTCAGACTGCCCGTCGAATCGGAAGTAAATGGCCAGCTGGTCCATAGGGGTGATGAGGGTGTCGTGCATGAAGCTTGCGATGTCGGCGCCAGTCCTCGCGATGGTCCACACTCGAACCTCGTCCAGTAGCCCCGTCAGGGTCGAAGGATTCGCCCCCTTGAGGGGAGGAGCCGTCGAGTATCCCCCGACGAGCATCACCGGGTTGGCTGGCATGGCGACGGGCCCACTCTGGACCACCTGACAGTGACTGCAGAGGAGAGTCAAGATGATGGCGACGGGAGGACGTCTAGTGAAGGAGAGGGATGAGGACGAAGGAGGAGGGAGACGAAGAGCAGGAGCAGGAGCAGGTAGTGGACGAGCAAGATGGTCAGGGTATGGGAGGTACTGGGAGCGTCTGAAGGAGAGAGGAGGGCAGGATCTCACGTCAGCAGCCCATCGACATAGAGCAGCATCGTCGCCCCGTCGTATGTCCCAGCAAGATGAACCCACTCGCACTGGTTAGGGCGAGACAGCCTGCAGCATTGTTAGCAAAATCTCCTCTCCTCACACACTGACTCCCTCCTCTCCTCTTCCACCACCACCGCAACCACCGCAACCACTTCCTCCTCCTTCTCTTGCTCCTCTTTCTCACCACGTCGGCGCTTGCAAGTAAGAGATCCTACCCGTCCCCTCTGACGCCACCTATCAGCCTGGTCAAAATCTCCTGCTTCCAGCCAACAGTCCACCTACCCCCCAGCTGAACTTCTTCTTGTACGAGCCCAGCACGAAACCGGCATCGAGCGAGTCAGGGTCCTCTCCTCCAGCCAGGTCCCACCAGACTCCGTTGGATCCTGGCTCGTTGGGCTTGTTGGTAACGTCGATGACCCCTAGGTAGCCCCCGAAGTCCTGCAGCTCACAGTCCTTTACCCATGCCTCCACAGTGATCTGGTTCAGAGGGCCCTTGGGGAAGGTGTCCTCCCATGGCGCCACTCCTCCCTTGCCGATCACAACGGCTGGCGTGCAGTCTGATCCGGTGAAGCGCATCACGTTCGGGGGAGCGTTCTCCTCCCGAGCAGGCTCGGGCTCCTCAGCCTCCTCGCTGTCGGTCTCATTGGCAAGACGCGGCGTCGGCTGTCCGAAGGCAACTCCCTGCCAGTTGAACTGGATCTCAGCATGCACTCCGGAAAGCGCTTGGCGCTTCATCTCCTTGAACGCGTTCTGCCTGGCTTTGTGCTCCGCCTCAGCAGCCTGCCGGGCATGGAGAACTACAAGCTTCTTGTGGTTGTTGGTGTGATGTTGCTTCGCAGGATGGTGTGCTGCAGCCTTCAGATAGCCTACTGCATCATCATCCTTCCCCTGGCCTGCCGTCCTCCTATCGAACTCCCCCGCCTTCCTCGCGGCATTCCGAAGGATCGCTTCGATCTGCGTGAGGGGGACCGTGCGCGAGCTCGAGCCGTCCTGCAATAGCTCGTGCGCATGCTGCTTCCTGAGGAGGGTTGTGGGTTCATCTGCCCCCTCTTCCTGCCTCCTCTGCACGAGAATGAGCAGCAGCAGCAGCACGTTCCCTCCCATGGACGCCACTGTCCTGCCCCGCCACCCTGCCATGGCGACCCCTCGGAAATGGACCGCATCCCCGCGCTGACCATGATAAAAAGGTAACTCGAAACTTTGTTAAATTGGGTCACTTGAGAGCTAAATTAGCTGAAATGTATGCTAAAAGTTCTTATATTAAGGTGATTCATAGCAATAATTAAGTTAAATATAAGCACATTGAACTTGTTTTTAGTGGTTTCTAGTTAACTGTTGAGGAGGCGCGCTGGGAAGAAATGAGAAGCGAGCAGCAGCAGCAGCAGCAGCAGCAGCAGTACGAGAAGGAGAAGAAACAGCAGCACGAGGAGGAGGAGCAGGAGCAGGAGCAGGAGCAGGAGGAGCAGGAGTTAGGAGTTAGGAAGGGAATGAGGGAGGTCGTTCCCACCTGATGGATCTCACGATCGTCAAGAGAGGGAGAAGAATGGAGAAACAACAACGAGAGTGCAGGTAATTTGCCGGCAAGAATAGAGGTGCAAAAGACAGAGAAATCTAGGACAAGAAGGAGGGAGGTGAGGTGGGAGGTAGGAGTGAGTCAGTCAAGAATGAAGACAAGGATGCAGTCGAAATTTGAGCAACGGGGGGGACAGTGTTTCATGCCTGTACAGGACACACCTTTCCAAGTGTGGTGTCGGCTGATGTTCATGTAGGGGCAAGGAAGACCATCGTCAAGCCATGGATTGGAACATGATATGGCCGTTCAACTCGTCAACCTCCGTCCCCGCCGAACAAGCGCCGCAGGCTACGACCATGCCGCTGGTAGCTCCCCTTGTTCCCCTTTCGATGTTGCAGCCTTTGATTTGAGGCAGCCGGAGTCCGGGCGGTTGGCCCATATGCCTGGAGGGACTCCATTGGCAGCATCGTTGCAAGATGGTGAGCGGTGTAGGGGCTGAAGCTGAGTATGAGGGAGAGTGCAGATGATGAGGAGTACGACGAGTACGAGGACGAGGACGAGGACGAGGACGAGGACGACGAGGACGAGGACGAGGACGAGGAAGATGGGGAAGAGACTAGCAGCCGGCAGGAGCTGGAAGAGGAGGAGAAGGCATCCGAGCACAAAGCTCTCAGTGCCACCTCCTCCTCCCGTCATCGTCTCGGATATCCAGAGATCCTGAAGCTGTGCACGATCCCGTACGTGCTCTTTGCCTCTGCTGGAGCCGTGCTCGTTGACGCTCCTCCCGTCTTCCTCCCCAGGACGATCGCATGCAAGAACTGCGGAGTCAGGCTGGGATTGACCGACAATGACGTTGTCAAGGTCCGATGCTCCTTGTGCATGAAGATAACAGTCGTCGAGGAGGTCCAACCAACATCTCCCTTCACTAATTCTTCCCCCCTCCCCCCCAACCCAACCACCACCACTACCACCACCACCACCTCCTCCTCCTCCTCCTCCTCCTCCTCCTCCTCCTCATCCTCCCTCTCCTCCTCCCTCTCCTCCTCCCCATCATCATCATCATCATCATCATCATCATCATCAGCAGCAATCACCATCATCCTCATGATCATCATCATCATCATCATCATCACGTAATCTCATACTGCCTGAAGTGCCTCTTAATCGTCCTGGTCCTCCTTCTTACCTTGCTCCTCCTCCTCGACAA